GGTTTTAGATTGTCAAAAAGGTATAGTTACATCAGTATATAATAACTTTAATTATTACATCACTTTAAACCTTGTGATAGCAAGTCAACTCTCCCAGTCTTTCAATTATTTCTCTCCCCTTCAAGTCTTAACAGTACTGAATAATCACTGAATGAAACATTGTGTTTGTTTTCCATTAACAGAATCCTGGTGAATCTACACTGTCATCTATTCCAAAAACAAAAAGGAAAAGAATTTGAAATGCTCAGAATAAATACTTTGAGTCCATGTAATCCTTATCTAGACAACAGCCATCAAATCCACTGCAAATGCACACCTCTGTAATTATTTTAAACTACAAAAAAAAATAATAGAAAATGGAACAAATGAGATACATGCCCCAGGGTATGGGAAGAAAATGGAGGTCAACAAGCAAGGAAAGTTGGTTATATCTATTCTTTCAGGTAAAGTGTTTCTCTGTGACTCTCACTTCATAACTCTTTTGGAGACTTGCACATTCCAAGATACTCTTTTAAGTTCTAGTTATGCATTTCAATAGCTGTTCTTAAATTATTGCATTCATAACACAGAAAGTTAGAGATGACAGGTGATGATACATAAATAAATGACAGGAGATTGGGTGTTTTGGGTGTGTTTTGTGTGTTTCAGATATCAGCAGTCATAAAACTGCCCAGTTACTTTGAAGGCTAGGTTGAGTAATAGTATTAATTGATTCTTTTGAAACCAAGTGGCCAGACAGTATCAAAACGTTACCTTAAACAGTGACTGAAATGCACGAAAAGGCAGTTTCCTCCATTACAACACAGTGTTTGACCAAGCTGATAAAACTGGTGACTAAATATATCGTGGTTTTACTGTGCATGTGTAACTCTTCCAACAAAGTAATTTAGTATTATATGTGAACTAAGTTTATAACATATTAATTGGCTATCATTAAGAATATCAAAGCTGACATTTTGAGCATCAACACTTCATCATTTACTCTGAACGTGCCTAATTCTTGTTATCAACTCAGTTGTTAATACCCAAATGATGAAACAGGTGACTACATACCATTGTTTTACTGTGCATGTGTAACTCATCCAACCTTTGTCTCTAGTCCTCACAATATCTAACCTTTTTACTCCTTAGATTTCAATATATTTTGTCAGCACTGACTGTCCTGTATTCTACTGACCCTTTTTCCTTCACACTTCTTTGCTTTGGAATATTTGCTTTTCATTAGGCAGCCCACACTATTGGGTGCAGTAAAGGCCTCCGACTAAACTGAGTTAATGTTGCTAGCTCTCTAAAGCTTTTTGATTTGGGGAAGCTTTGTGGAAGTATGAGGAGAAATCTCTATAGCCCCACCCACTCCCCTCTCCTTCTTATGATCATTGCCCAAACCCTTGGTAAAAATTTCTTTTACTCTTAAATCTTCCACTTCTGAAAAACTCAAAGATGGCAGTTTTAACTTTCACTGATAAAATACTAACCACTTGCCTGCCAAAATTATGCCAGTTCTGAAGGCTAACTACACACATCAATGGTGAACCAAGAAGGAACATGCCATACATTTTAAAGAATTCTTTTTTTTTAATAACCAAGTTTAATTCTGTCTTATTTTTTTGTTGTACAGAATCCCCATCTCTTCATTGTAGTAACTTCCTTTCAGTTCCTCCTCAGATGTTACGCTCAAGCACAGTGGAAGGCATGGAATCCTTATCATAGAAAGAATATTGAAAGTCACCTTTATTTGCTAATTTAAGATGGCTGTGTTGTTGATTAAGAGAGATGATGATTTTTTTTTAATGAATATGCTGAGGATGAAGTACATAAAAGTCACTTTTAGTTTCATTTCTTTCATGTTAATGACCAGTCAACCTTAAAAATTGCAGAGGATAAGATGAAGAGCAAGACTCGTGAAGGTGAAAAACAGTTTTCAATTTAAAGACACTTTCATCCCCAAAATCATTCTTTGCCAAAGACAAAATTATATATCAATCTTAACCAGAAAAGTAATAAATAAGATCAGGAAGGTACAATTAAAACAATCAGAATTTGATAATCATCAACCTTGAGCAATCTTTATTTTCTGTCCTTGGTTTTGCTTCTACACTGATAATTGAAAAAGTAATTAAACCTTACTGGTTGATTGTGATAATAAAAATAATTTTACACAATGAAAAATTATATTTCATCCTAAGTTAATAGCTAGCTTCTATAGATACAAAAGTGCATTGGTATAATATTTGAAATTGAAATATTATTTTAATAATAATAAAAGGCAACTTAAAAATTGGTTTGCAACCAATAATACTAAACACTAACAGTAATTCTATAAATGTTTGTGGAAATCATTATAAAAAGTTTCCTGTAACCTTTTGGAAATCTAAGATAGACTAAAGAGTGAGTTGATCTCACTTTTTATTTTTTTTTTCGATTTTAAAATAGTACTAAGCAAAAAGCAGTTAAATGTTTCTTGAGAAATGTTTCAGATTTATTAAGGTATTACAATATATAATTTCACTCTGCAAAAAAATTAATGACATTGTGAGGCAAAGTAGCTGAGTGGTTAACCTGGTAACTCCCAGAAGTGATTAACATGTAACTTCTCCCTATGATATCCATACTTCTTCTAGCAAACAGTTAATGAGAATACCAAAACTTATCAGGAAGAAGTTTTTATCTTGATCTCATATCAAATTCTCCTAACCAATTTACAAGGAATTGTGTAGCAGCAAGAGGAGTTGAAGGATTAAGGCACTGGTCTTGTAATCAGCTGGTTCCAGGTTCAAGCCCTCCACTCTGCTACTCACTGAGTTTGTTCTTGGTTGCCTTAAGGTCAAATCATTGGCCATGCTTCCTATTTTGGCCAAATGGTTTGCCTCTGGCCAGTTAAGATATTTAAAGTCTATATTTATTTACAATGTTCATTTCCAATTTGTTTCCATTGGCCCTCAAAAGCCCCAATAGGGGAAAGGTCAATTTAGTTATTATTGATGTAAATTTTACACTGGAAGTAATCCAGTGATATTTCCAGATAAGGTGTAATAGGGAAATTCCACAAGAAGAAGCCTGAAACAATTTAAGCTTTGACAGGGTTTGAATCCAAAGCTCTGTGAGTGTTCCTAGTTGAATGTTCTACCAACTGAGCCACAAAGCCACACACCAAGAGCAAGCCAAGAATTACTCCATTAGTGGCAATCATTCCCTGATCAAAACATGATTTATTCCATTTGTTGCTCATACATTCCTGTATGGGGAAAAGATCCCACAATAATTTCCTAGCTTGTGACATGTGACTTCATGGCTCATCTGTTTCACTGCCCAACTGACATATGGAGGTACAGATAGGTACTCTGTCAAATCCTGATTTTTTTCCAGGCTTCAACTGCCTCATTTCTAATTGTGAAGGGTTGCCATAGATAGGGAGTTTCTGGAAATTTCTAGAAAGCTAATTAGTCATGTTATAAGGATACTGGAGCAATCTAATGCAATGCTCTGTAACTTTCTAAAACATCCTTCTAAGTGTTGTATTACAATCTATAATGCTTAGAAAAATTTACTAACATTGTAAGCTTCCAGAACATTCTAGAATGATTAATAAATGTACATAGTAGGTCAGTCACTTAAAATAATTTTTTTTTTCATCTGCAAAGACTGTCAACTGTTTGGAGAAGCTAAAGAAGGCTATTGTGGACTTCTATTGAAGTTGGCCTATGGTCATTCATACATACATATAAAAATACATATATACATGTGAAATACATGCATTCATTGAATAAGTCTGTTTAGCAGCAATATTGAAAAAACAAAATGCAAATTCTGAAGAATACAGAACAAAATGAATTAAAAATCATTACTTTAAAAATCATGGTCAAATGTAAGATGATTTTTTCTCTTTCTAACAGATGTTAAGGTACAAATTTAATTCGTTTTAAGTGAAGCACTGTACATAGGTCTTTTTTATGAGTATTGAATAAAGAACTGAATATTTTAAATAAAAAAAAAGAAAAAAAGTGCTAATATATATTTCCTTATGTTAAATTAAAAGCATTTCAAATACTGTTTTTGTTTCAGACAACTTTGCCTAGAAGTTTGTCAAGAGTTTCAGAAGAGATTTTGAGATAACAGTGTTTACTGTGATTTTCATATTGGTGGAGACTGGGCTAACAGCCAGTAATGGGATGTTATTGTTTTAATTTATTCTAATAACTAAGTCTCTTAAAGCAACTCAGCAAGGCTTTTAGAATGAAGTGACCATGAGGTAATTTGTTGTGAAATAAAAGTGTGGAGGGCCTTAGCCTCAATGCCCAGGGCATTGATCAAGTATATTTTAACTTGCAATACCTGAGTAATCCCTTCAATCACAAGCACATAACCTGGGTTATTAGTCTTCTGTTTCACTCTATGTAGATTCCGTCTTAAAACCCCACAATGTTAAAGAAAACAATAACATAAAAGTATTGTAAGAAAAGAAAGTATTCAAACTACTTTTATGAAACTAACTAATGAACATAGCTAAGAGGATTAGCAGCAATTAAAAGCCATGAAGGAAAATTGTTGTACTATCCCTAAAAGGCCCTGCACATACCCCACCCACCCACCAATCAAAAGAAAAATCAGCAACAAAATTTCATTGTCTGATATCTGATATTTACAATGAATGCAACTGATCTGGTGAATGAAATTGATAAATTACTTTAGTAAAGCAAGGAAATGTAAAGAAATTAGTCAAACCCTAAGATATGACTTGGTGTACATCGTGGCGATGTACACCAAGCTATTTGCTATTTACTATTACACCGTTATTACTACATGACTGGAAAACTCTGGAACAACAGCGTAACGCCAATAAAAAATCAATACTCAACATAACCTTTAAAGAATCTAGATTAAAGCTAGCTACATTTTGAAAATTTTATTTCAAAAAGGAAATGGGAGATTGCCTTCTTCATGAGAATTAATTCAAGCCAAAAATATTAGCGAACAATTTGAAACAACAAGAAAACAGCAGTTTATAACACAACTACCCTACCACCTGACAAACTGCTTCCGACAACAGCAATGCTTCCGTCATTATTGAGTGTAATCCCTCCTATTTTTAAGAAACTATGAGAATTTTGGACTTTTACACTATGAACAAACTCACCATCTTTGCTGTATATTGTAACCTGCACGAAGTTTATCTCTCGTTCCATACAAGCGACGACAACATGTCCACCTGCTGCTGGGTGAAACATAATTTTCGGGACAGAAAAGTTATTTGTATGCAGCTTAAACTTGTTCAGATAGTCGCCGTGTTCACTGAATATGCGAACAAAGTAATTTTCTTTGTCAAAAACACTAAGGAAGGAATCATATTCAACGTCCAATACTAAAACACGGCCATCATTAGCAACAGTGATATCTTTCGGATACTTCAATATTTCTCCTCCAAAACTGCGAACAAACTCTCCATTACTGTCATATTCCTCCACTCCTTCCCTCCGGGACCTCAGTGCCACTACTTTCCCTGTATCCCTAACTGACAGTCCTTTGTACTTACCCAGAAAACCCCCTACCCTCAGACGAAACATGTGATGCAGGTCAGCGGTTTTAGTAAGTTTATAAATCCACCAAGATGAGTTATACCTAGGAGTAGGCTTCATCAGTTTGGTCAGCACAAAGATATTGTCGTTTACGGCTGTGACTACATCTTTAATTTTTAATTCTGTATATACGTCATCGGCACGGAGCGTGAAATGTTTCACAAACGTACCGTTTCTGTCAAACACCTTCACGCAACGACCTCTCCGTTCCCCGACATTAAATTCTCCGCTGGAGTTAGTAGCGATACCCATCGGGGCCTCCAGCTCCTGACCAAATGACCATGGTGTTACACAACAGTGCTCCATGCCTTGATTAAGAAGTACTTTGGTTACTCTTGCGTCATACAATGGATTGATTCTGTTGTCTCCAATATCAACTGTAGGCCAGATCCAAAAGTGTGTGTCTCCACCGAATGTTCGCGTGACATCGTAGATAACACGATTCACGTGACAGACACTGGTGATGATTTCCCTTCTTTCCTCTTGACTGAACCAACCTCTTACTGCTTGAATGCCTGTCTTGAGCTGAACATCAAAGTTATTCTGTACTGCTGGCAGAGAGTTTAGTTCCTTTACACACACTCCACATGGTCCCACTGCATCAGCGGGATGGTCTACTGTCTCTAATATGGTCGCCATGACTCGATACTTCATGGCCAGAATGCGGTCAGATGTTTTAAGGCCTTCATTTTTAAAGGCCCTCGTTGCTTCTCTTCGAGCATCTTTGAATCTTTCCTTTGCAGCGGAAAGCTTTCTCGTAGCAGATTCATCCAGGCCAGTAAGCTCTAACCTGCTGATTCCTTCAATAATAGGAATTGCTTCATTGCAAGCCGCTAGTGCTGTTTCCGCGCCACACTCGCCTCTAGCATTTGCTATCTTAAACACTTCATACAACAACACAATTCCTTCCTCAAAGAAACTGATGCTCGCTTCTAAATCTTTCCTCGATAACGCGTCCAACTTTAACCTAACTTCCTCGATTTCCTTGACGATCAGGGAGTGGAATTTTTGATCTGTTACATCGCCATCTTTCAGAATCTCAGCGACCTTATCTCTACATTTGCTGACTAGCAAACCGATGGTGGGTCTGAACACTGTTAATACTATCGAGGACATAGCGGTTGAGTAAAGTTGAGGATAAACTCAGAACCTTTTTATGAGCTAATAGAAATTATGGTCTTTCTTATCTTTGCGCTCTGATCAAATTTCTTTTGGGAGGGGCTTAGATAAGATGTCAGAGAAGGTCTTCAATTTTTAGCAACATAAAAACTGGATTCATTCGATGGGACCGGACTTCGTAATCTCCGGTTGGAATGAGCTTCAGCACCGCTGGTACTTCACGTTGTCACTTGCGATGCTTAGCACGGACAGAGGTACAGCGAACTAATGCGGGTATCAGCGGCAATCCCGAGGGGTCGACCCCCGGGCAACCCAAGGGCAACCCACGGGCTTAGCAGGGGATTTGTAGCAAAGGCATGCCCCGCACGCGGGGCATTAGAGCGCTTTTGCGTTTTTGGCAAAATACCCCGGGGCCGTACCCACGGGATTTGCACGTAATCTGCTGTCTCAACGTTCAGTGGTTTTCGCCACAGGACAAGCAAGCTCGCTCGCTCGATGTTCTTCTAGCCCTCAAGTCATACCATTATCATTCAAATTAGATATAAATAATGAGCCATCCATTGTCGGAAGACAGAACAAAGGAATGAGGATAGAATTTGTATAAAAGCTATTAAGGACTGACACTTCAAAAACGTTTATCTTCTTACAAATTTTGCGAATTTCGAGAATGTAAACTCGTCAGCTTCAATAAGTTTATAACTAGTTGCTCGATTATTTAACAGGATTTGAATGTGTTTTTTCCCTGTAGATCATGGATTGGAAACAGTTCTTTTTAAATGCAGGGTTAGAAGAAGACCTTTCGCAACAATATGCGAAAAAGTTTGAGGAAAACAGGTACGGTTTTTTCGATAAATATTTAGAGCTATATTTCCTAAATTTTTTATATTCGATAATATTTCATATAGCTTTAATAAGCTGAAGCTTTCATGGTTTCACAGTGCCATTTATAAATGCCTACACCAATGTTTATTTTTAGCTGGATTTATTTAAGAAAAATAGGCAAATAGTTGTGTATGTGTTTAATGGGATTTGCTTGTTCAGTGAGCTGTGTTTATGAAATATTTAGGCTCCCTTCGGTCAGACCAGAGGGCAAAAATGTCCTAAAAACTTGAAAATATTCTTGAGTGATGCTTAGGAATGGCTATGAGGGGAACGAGCGGCCATTTGTTCACATCTGCAGTGATGGGCTAGCCCCTTTGCAGTTTAAAAATGTGGATAATATTTTTCGAGGAAAACAGTGTTTAAGACCACTCGAAGCCTTGTATATCTACCCATATGTTGTAAATGCATAAAAGGTCCTATATTTTTCCTATAATTATCGTCCCATGCCCAATATATATAGTGGCCCAATATTTGCTTCCAAATTCCCCTATATTTTTGCAAGAGACTATTTGATCAGAAGCCCTGCATTTACCTGATGCAAACTTAAATATAGATGTAAATATAAATGTTAATAATAGTTTTCAGGTGTGAATATTTTAATTTCAATCAGACTGCGATAGTTATTAATTTCTCTGTTACTGAAAATTAGGAATGCATATTTATCAAAGGAAAATAGTAATTTACGATAGTTTGGTATAGTACTTCATGATGTCAGTCATCTATAATTTACCGATAATCTAAAAAAATACATAAAGAGAATTTTTATATAGTTATTGTTGCCCTCACCACCAATTTACCTAATGAGATCAGGATTGCTAGCTTAAACAATTTTGTTTTTGTTTTAAGTATTTTATTAAGCTTATGATATTTCTTTTAAAGGATGCAGCAAAAGCACCTCTCCCAATTGACAAAGGAGTTGTTGCAAGAGTTAGGCATTAATGCGATTGGGGACATAATGACCATCTTGCAAATTGCTAAAAAGCAGGTAAGCAGACTTGATTTGTCATAATTGATTCTGCGAATCCTAAACTTTTTGAAATTCATTCCCTGTGCTATACACAGTGTACATGTACACACCAGGTACATGTACTATGTACCAAACATTGTTTCATCTAAAAAACTGTTTACAAACCTTACCACTCCTTTCAACAAAACAGGTGATGTTGAAATCTTCCGTCATGTAAAGCAACTTAAAGTGCCCCTGAGATCAAATATTATAGTTGATTTTTATTTCATTTTTTGAAAGAAAGTAATGTGATAATTTTACTGACCTGTCCAAACCGTTTTTCAATCTGATCACGGGAAGGCAGTTATTTTTGACTGTACATTTATCATTTTAGCAGCCACCATTTCATTTGCATGTTCCACTAGTTTCAAAAGAAGCCACAGGAAGTGGCGTCAACGACTTACTGGCTTAAAATTGCAGTGTATAATAACAATGTTTTGTTTCGAAAAATGAAATAAAATATTATAAAATTTGATCGCAGGGGCACTTTAAGGTTCATTAATTTGACTAGCATGTGTTCTTCTTTTCCACCAGCTACCACTTGTACAACTTAAACCAGATGATTTCCATCCTCACCAAGACCAACAGGTGAGAGTTTTTATTGTCATGAAATAAACCAACAATCAATATATATATATTCATTACTGTAATTCTAACAAATAAGACCTCCAACAAAATATGGATCATTGAGAGGAGATGGAGAATATGATAGTGGAAATTATGCTCTTCTTTTAAAACTGTTGTATACCTCTTTCCCTCGTAGTCCTCAGAAGTACCACAAGTATCTCAAAGAAAATCTGGGTTAAAACAAACAACCTTGGTAATCTCGCAGGGAAGTAGAGTGCTGGGAGTTGGTCCTACAATTTCAGTAAGTACAACTAGCTTTAAGTAGCAAATAAAATATGAGTGGGAGATCTTTATGGGCATTTAGAATGGCAAGTCACTTTAGCGAGCCATTGTAAATCCCATAAAGATCTCATGGGAATAATTTATTGTGCTTGTAAAATGAACAATAAGTGCAAAGAAAATGTAAAATGTAAATCCCATAAAGATCTCATGCGAATATTTTATTGTGCTTGTGAAATGAACAATAAATACAAAGAACCTCATTGTAATCAAAAGTTAAGCATACTAATAAGGCGAATAATTTACTCAATGATTCATCAACCCCAGTTGATCTACATTGGGATTTAGAGACATTCATTAAAAATTCATTTCTTTTGTATTTTCCTTATGAATTATTTATGAATTATACAAGCTCGTTTAAACATCCGCATGCTACATAATACTGTTCAAGAAATATAATAAAATATATATCTGTGCAAATTGATGATCAGATGGCCACAACAGTGCTATTTATTTTAGCTACATGTATATGACTGTAATGGACTGATGACAACTTTCTTGGTAAATTGAAAGATTTTACTGTAGTCGATTATTCATCTTCTGTGGTGTGATGACATGTATTTGTTATATCTGGGCAGATTTTACATTCGGATTGGGGTTCGTTAGATCAGGGTTCTTTTCCACACATTTTTGGTAATTCTGGCCAGCCTGAATAAATTTGTGTGTTAAATCAGGGACCTCGTTAAATCGTGGTTTCAGTGTATAACAGTATTAGTAATAAAAAAGGTGTTTCATTATTAATAATTGATAAGGTATTTCTAATTTTCTTTATTTTAAAGGGTTGCCAGGGGGGTATTGGAGGTGCAAAAAATGTGGCTGTAACGGTAGACAAAGAGGTCCTGGAAAGAGAGAGTAGAATATATGGTCGCTCAGAAAACCGGACACTTTCCAAATATGAAGAAGCAATCAACAGATGTGCCTTAGCTTGTTGTGAAGAGGATGTCAGTCTCCTTAAAGATAGGAAAAAGCTCTTCGAGTTAGCAAGAGAAAAGGCTGATTCCGGTGGATACAGTTACAAGAAACAGAGATCTAGATCAAAAGTGTTCGGTGATGAAAAAATGGCCAAGGAAGGTGCAAAGCGTCAGAAGTTGCTGTTCGACCAACGTCAGCGACGAACTGAGGAGTTGGTGGAGGATATGACAAGTGCCACAGATACCATAAAGTTGTTAGAGCTTCAAAGAAGCAAGTTTGTGAGTGGTGAGAAGTACCTTGAAGCCGCTGAAGTGGTCTCCCAAATAACCGAATGGCGAGGGAAACAGAGAAAGCTGCAAGCAGAGCTTAGTAAGCTTCAAAAGGCTGATGCTCGGTCAATGAAGTATCACAAGGGAAAAAGTGCCAAGGGCAGAGCAGAGCTGAAAACCATGGAAAGGTTTATCATTAGTAAATCGAAAGGACCAAGTGATGTGTCTACCTCATCTGGGTCATGCAGTTCAACTGAGTCCACCAGCAGCGAGGCCGATGTCAATGATGCTGTCATGCAAAAAGGTACACCAAGTGAGTGTTGCAGTGCAGGTAAAAATGTTGCCAGTTCAAGTAGGGCATTTTCAACCAAATCCACCAGCAGTGAGGTCGATGTTCATGATGTTGTCATGCAAGAAGGTACACCAAGTGAGTGTTGGAGTGCAGGCAGTACATCATGTAGTTCCATCAGTGCCGAGGCAGCTGTTGACTATCAGAGTTCTCCACACAGCTCAAGCCAGGATGGACAAAGTGATGATCCACTTTTTCTCAAAGCCCCACGGACCGTATAGGATTGTCTGTGGGGCACAAAGAAAATGCTGTACTCCGATATTCCAAGTATTTGCCATGTACGCTGTCTGATGTTGCTCGCACCGAGGACGGAATTTATTACAGCCTGATCACTGACCTGACCTTAAAAGAGTTTATTGTGGCACGAGAAGATCACTGTGAAAGGAATCATCTTGTTTCATGCAAGGAATGCACCAACCTCACTGATGCAGCAAAGCAAATTGATGATAGTGGCATTGTTCCCCTTAGGAGTCTCTTTGCATCCCATTTCCTGTCCCCAGGCGCCAAGTACAAGTCTGATAAAGCCATAAGACGAATATTGCAGCTGCCAGTTGCAATATTTCCATTGGAATTGCAAAAAGGTCAGAAAAAGTTGTTTGTGACAGAGCTCAATACAGCAGTAAACTATGAAAAATTAGGAGAATTCCTGAGGACAGTGTCAGTGTCAGTGTCCACAGATTGTAACACTCAATTTCCCATCATTTCAAGGGAAACTTTAAAGATTGTCTGTGACCTTGCTTCTTCTGATAAAGACAAGAGGCTTATTAAGTATGCAGTGAGTTGTGGTGGTAACATGTCGAGAGAAGCAGCTAAAAAGAAGTATGGTATATCAGATCTGACATTATTAAAGAACACTGTTGAAAATGCTATTGAACAGGCAAGGGAGATTCGTGATGCAGTAGATCATTTGTCAAATGTAAAAGAGGACTGCATCCTAGAAGAACTTGGTATATTTTGTGGTAATGATTCCAAAAGTGACAGTGACGAAAGTGAATCAAGTGACGATGAAACAAGTGAAAATGGCAGTGACACAGGCTGCCCCGATGACGTGGATAGTGAAAACAATGGTCAGAATTCCGATGTTCCACCCAACAGCAGTGCCTTAGACCCTGATGTCATTATGAAAGGAATGGCCACAGTTTCCCCTGCACCAGGCAATGAACACCTCCTGATGCTTCTCAGAGAAAACAATCACAATTGGTTTTCATTTGTGGGGGAATTGAAGATGTTGCTTCACATGTACACCCCTGAGGTCCTAAACCAGGTGCTTGTGGATTTTGCAGCATTCCTGCCCTTCAGTGACTTGTCTGATGAAGAAGAAAGACTAGTAGAACAATCCCGGCAAGCATTCTTGATGACAGAGAGGAGAAGAGTAGCAAGAGAAGATGATGATGTGTTGTCTGATTCAGAGAGCGATGATCCAGAGGATTGGGTGGATGTGGGTAAAGGACTCACTGAGAAGATGAAATCACTTGTGGTAAACGAAAAGAGAAAACAGAAGAAAAGGGATAGGAGAAGGTTTCTAAAGCTGGTGGCAGAGAAAAGTGTACTGAAGAGAAGGGTTCCAAAACGTGCTTCAAAATTACTTAAGCAATTCCCTAACCTTGGGAAAGATATTGAAGATTTCGTACATGAAAATCGAATTGGGGCAGATGCATGGAGAAGAACGGGTGTTGCCACCTTTGATGGAAACGTTAAGAGTGGGCCTCGTGTGACATACCGCAGAATCAAAGAACACCTAGAAAGAAAGTATCAGAGAAAGTTTAGTTATGGGGCAATTGTCCAGCTGTCTGTTGTCCGGAACAAAAGGCGCCAATCTTCCAAACGCTATTGGGGTGCAGCACAGATTACTTGCAGAAGGGCTCGAAAAGGATTTAACATCAAGCTAAACCCAGATGCACACTGGAGTTCCTCCTTCTACAAAGGACTGGACAAGATACAGTTAGAAGATGGTAGAGACAAGTGTATAATCAATCGTGACGACGCAGCTGGCTTCAGATTAGACACCACATATACTCATAAGCAGTATAAGGCAATCTCGGATGCAAGTCAACAAGAAGTCACAACAAGAACAGACTATGTCAACAAATATGCATCCATATTACAAGTGACATCGTATCTAGTGCCAGGTACAAAAACAACTCCCCAATACTCAGCAGGCATTGTCAAAGCACACATTGTGTACCCGAAAGATCCATCGCAGCATGCGGCAGATGTTGTTATGCTCGAGAATGAACAGGAATTCAAGCCCTGCATGAAGAACAAGCCAATAGATTGCATTCGAGTAGACGGTGCAGCTGATGAAGGTCCGTCACATAAAGAAGTACAATTTATGTGGACCGAGCGACATTTGGAACAGGAAAAAGTGTGCACCTTGGTCACCACCCGCTGCAGTGGCTCGTCATACCTAAACAGAGTTGAGCTTCAAAATGGATGTTTGTCTGTAGCCCATGGAAATATCTTCATTCCGTCAACCATTCATGGATCCAACTTTGGAAAGAATGGGTCAATTGATTATGAAAAACTTGAAAGAAATCTTGATGCTGCTACGGATGTTTATATCAGCAAGTGTAATAATGCGCCATTTGGAAACTCGTCCATAACGCTTTTTAAGGGCAACAGGAATGATCTTGCAAGGAATTACAAAAGCAGACGACCTCACCTTATTGCATTTTTGAAGGGTTCACAGCAGAGCAAAAGAAAACTCAAGGAAGAAAACCCAGCCCTTTTTGAATACTTCACAGAAATTTGGCAGCTTAGAGATCGGCACATGGTGGAGGGGCTCCCAAGTCAGTACATATTCCAGCTCCTACCATGCTACAAAGATGTCTGCATTCACCCAGTCTGCAGAAAAGGTAAACCTGATAAAGAGCCTGTGTGGTACGCTGGTGGACCACCCCTTTCGTATCTTCCCATTCCTGTTCCAGACCCAAAGCATTGTTGGGGACAGCCATGTGACCGATGCAAGGGCCTTTGCACCGGCCATTATTTAAACCCAAATGATCATGCTGAGTTTGTTGCAAGGAATGGGACAGAGAAATGTGTATTTGTCCCGCCAAAAGATCAGCTGGAATCAGCGGCCAAGTTAAAGTTTGAGAAAAATGAAGAGTGGACACAGGCAGACTACGAAAACATCGCCAAGCAGGTGCTTCTTTCTGCTGAAGATGCTCGTATTTGGGTAGAACACGTTGGCCTAACATCAGAGAGAAGAAAGGCAGGGGCTAAGAAAGCTGCTGAAACTAGAGCAAGGAAGAGACAGGATCGCCAAGGTAAGGTTACATATCAAGAGCCAGTAGCTGCTGCTGTATTGTAATGTCCTCAAAATGTATCCGATTGATAAAATGACTACATGCAAGGAGATCTAATAGACCAATTTCGAGATATTAAAATTCATACTTGGCTCCGAGGCTTGGGGGAATAAAACAATCGAAATCACATTGAGGTCCGGCGTTGAATTATTCATTTCTTTTGTTTTATCCCCCCAAGCCTCGGAGCCAAGTATGAATTTTAACATCTCGAAATTGGTCTTTTGAGCAAGGAACTTTTATTTATTGTTGAATATACATTTCTTTTAACAGCTGCACAAGAGGATGAAATTGAAAGTGATGGTGGTGGAGATCTCTGGTGTTATTGTAGAGATATAGAACATGGGTAAGTCTTTCTGATCAAGAACGTAAATAAGGCAATTAGTGTTGCAAGTTTCAATTCTACTTTTTCAATGTATTTCGTGTTTTGTCGCGCTCTCTCACTAACTTTGTGAATAAGGACTAATAAGAATGTTTTTATTGTTCCTAATGGTTCCTGAACTTGTACATAGTTTATTCCTTTATATTGTTCGATTGCCTTTGTACTTTTCTCAAACAGAGGACTGGGTGTTGTGATTTTTGTTTGCCGACTTATGCTATTTTTTGTTATTTTTCAGGTTCATGATTCAGTGTGATTCTCAAGGCCCGTCATGCTTCATTTGGTATCATGGGCCATGCGTGAAGATATCCAAGAAAAAAGGACGGCAAATGGAAATCACAAACACCCCTTTTATTTGCTACAACTG